GGGAGTTTCTTCAGAGCAATATTTAGACAAACTGTATAATAAATGTGCTATGTTGTGAGTTGTAATAAGACCTGTAATTCTAACATTTCATTTCGTAATAGTTTTGTAAAAAACAAACAAAAAGACCCCAAAACCCCCCAAATGACAGCAAATCTTCAGACACAATGAAGAGTACACAAGCAGAGTTTTGTAATCATAGAATCATAGCATGATTTGGATTGGAAGGGAATTACTGGGAAACATAATGCCTTATGTTTTGCCAGTGGGAACTCCTTGATTTGGGTTAAGTCTTGTTGAACACTGATGGAGCTGGCTTGTGTTTAAACACGTCAATCCTTCCGCTGAAACCTGTAGCACAGCATTATCTTTTTCAGTTCTGTCCCCTTGTTGAATTATTCAGGTTGTAGGTTTTCTGTGCTCTTGACTGTTCTGGGCATCTGTAGGAAATGTCTTTGAGTCATACCAGGCTGAACAGTGCAGATGCAGTTGTACATCTTCCTAGAATAATAGCTGGACTTGGTGTGTCGCGTTTCTGCTCACGTATTCATGGGGCTGATGAGTCCTGTGGGATTTGAGTAGGCTCCATGTAGGTGTTCAAGTCATCTAGAATGAGCTTGGGTCCTGCTGGGTTCAGTTTAAGTGCTGTTTTAAATAAACTTTCGGTTTACTTTTGAACAAGAAAAGGGAGTTTCTTCAGAGCAATATTTAGACAAACTGTATAATAAATGTGCTATGTTGTGAGTTGTAATAAGACCTGTAATTCTAACATTTCATTTCGTAATAGTTTTGTAAAAAACAAACAAACAAAAAGACCCCAAAACCCCCCAAATGACAGCAAATCTTCAGACACAATGAAGAGTACACAAGCAGAGTTTTGTAATCATAGAATCATAGCATGATTTGGATTGGAAGGGAATTACTGGGAAACATAATGCCTTATGTTTTGCCAGTGGGAACTCCTTGATTTGGGTTAAGTCTTGTTGAACACTGATGGAGCTGGCTTGTGTTTAAACACGTCAATCCTTCCGCTGAAACCTGTAGCACAGCATTATCTTTTTCAGTTCTGTCCCCTTGTTGAATTATTCAGGTTGTAGGTTTTCTGTGCTCTTGACTGTTCTGGGCATCTGTAGGAAATGTCTTTGAGTCATACCAGGCTGAACAGTGCAGATGCAGTTGTACATCTTCCTAGAATAATAGCTGGACTTGGTGTGTCGCGTTTCTGCTCACGTATTCATGGGGCTGATGAGTCCTGTGGGATTTGAGTAGGCTCCATGTAGGTGTTCAAGTCATCTAGAATGAGCTTGGGTCCTGCTGGGTTCAGTTTCTGGCTAATGCTCATCCCCAAGGGAGGCAAGCTCTGTGAGCCACAGTGCTCTAGGAAGGCTCCCTGAGCTTGAATGGTATAGTCTCTTCTCCTCTAACTAGTCTTGGGTAACAAAAACTTTACTGTGTGTTAAGGAAGCATCTCAATAGTTACTTAAACCACAGTACCAAAAGTTACCGATCCAAATTTGTCTTGATTTACCTTTTTAAGTAGGATGCAGATTGATGCTCTGTATCTTTATCTATGTAATCACATACCGTAATGCTTTTTACTGTTAGCAACTATTGAATGATGGCCATCTTTGTATTGGATTAGATGACCATTTTAACAGGTATATGATTTATAGCCAAGAAAAGAGCAAAATTATTGTGGTTGTAAGAGATCTAAAATTCGAGACCCATAAAGGTTTCTGGTTTAGTTGCACAAAAGAAGTGTTTAACTTTTTTTTACGTGAAATTGTAATTTACAAATTTACCAAGTTGTACTTGAATAGAAATTGGAATTTGAGAGATAAAGTAGCATTATTTTGTTGACCAGAACTACTCTTAATAGGTTTTATTAATCTATTTTTTCTGTAGTGAGTTTGGTTTTAATTTACAACAAAAGAAATAATAAGAATAGTATCCATTCTAATCAATTGACTGTTTTTTCTTTCCAGGAATCAGATCTTTCAAAGCTGTTAAAACACCTAGAGATGTTGATAGGAAGCTATACGCATTTCTTCCTTCCCTCCAAAGGTTGGATAAGTTTTGATGGTGCCAACATACTCTTAAATCCGGTTAGGTCTCTCTCAGAAGGCACAGATAGAAGTCCAGGGACTGGAACCATCTGTGTAATACGCAGTTGAGCAGATTTCCAGGTATGACTTTTTAGAGGGCTTGTAAGCTTGTCAGAAACGAAACAAAACTGATGAGAGTAAAATTCAGCATGGCCAAGCTGAACTTGTGTTCTTCTCGGCAGTTTCTCAGCATACCTGTCCTGAACTACTGAAATGTAAGTCAGTAAACAAACCTTTAGAAATACTTCTCATCCAAATATCCCAAAATGTGAAAGTCTATAAAAGTCTCTTCCACAGTTACTAATGACAGTTTACTAGATAAAAAGGTATAAAAACCAAGAATGATTGAATTTTCAAAGCAGATAATATGAAAGGACAAAATTCTATAAGACTTTTGTAATTTCACCGCTATAAGCGGTTCTGTGAGCAAGAGGCTAGTGGAGGCCAGCTTTCTGGGAAAGTGGCTGGATATGTGGCTTCCTTGTAGATTATCTGGTGTCTAAAAAGGGTTACGTTGCAGCCTTTTTCTCTTCGGATCTTTTGATAGAGTTGCTTTCTAGCTGCCTGTTTTCTGGAAATCTCTAGAAATGTCTGATTATCTAGTTTACGGTCGGATTTTGCTGGAAGTATTTGCATGCATGCAGAAGGCACATTTGTGCATCTTTCTTGCTCCAGCTCCATACCAGCTTCATATTTAACTTGATTGCATATGCCTGGTTTCCTTAGGAACACAAACTAAAATGGTGCTGATTTGATGTAATGAAAAAAGCTTTTCACAGGGAGCACAGTCCATCACTGGAAGAGGTTGACCGGAGAGGCTATCAAACCTCTGTTTGTGGAAGTTTTCAAGACCTGAGTGGCCAAGATGCAGAGTGCCCTGGTTGCAGTTCGTTGTTGAGCCTGCTTTGAGTAGGAGGCTGGATGGGTGTCCTCTTGAGGTCCCTTCCAAGTGAATGGGTGGTGTGCTAGGTAGAAGACTAAAAGAAAGGCAAGGATTACAGATTTTGTAGAAATGAAGGGAACATTTAGTATTGTGTAGAACTCCAGTTTGCTGTATAGTTATGGAGGTGTTATCTAAATGAACAGTAAACGCAGGAGTAGATTGGTGAATGAAATGCCTGAGCAAGGGTCGAATGACCTTTTTAGAACTGAATTTGGGACATCTGCTGCTACAATGATTCTTTTATTTTTGCTATAACTTGTCTTGGTTCTGTTTATGAAAAGGTACTGTCTGTGAAGACTCAATGGATTATCAGTTTTTTGGAAACTGCAGTTAAAAGTAGTTTAAGATAAATTTGTCTTTTTTCGTAGCCAATGCAGTAAAAGGATCAAGACTCTTGGGCTAGAGTAACTCAGGTTTAATTTTACTGTAGTGCTTTCATGTTGAGTTTGCTAGTTAAGAATGGGATGCATACCGACAAAAGATTGACTGTGGTTATGCATGGAAACAAAGTGCAAGCTAAGGCTTGGAGAATGTCCATAATACAAGAGAGAGAAATTGGTAGGGAAAGGATATGGATAATAAACTGTATAGCAGTCAGGGAATTAAACTGAGGGCTTGACAGAATAAGCTTAGAAGGTTGAAATATGATGTTTGTGGTGAGGCAATGCTGGTTTAATGGATAAAGACAATGTTAGATCAGTAATTTGGAGTGTTAGTCCCAACCAGTTTGTTTAAAGACCAGCTGAATAACCTTGCACGTGATACAGAAATACATGTGTTCTTGGATTCAAGACCAGCGATTCTGAAAACTGGTGAAAAAAGTAAATTGTGTTCCAAGTTTCCTTTTTTTCTTTTCTTTCTTTCTGCTGGATGAATGACTTCCATTGCAGAAATGTTACTGGTTAAGAAAACTGTTGAGATACATGGATGTTACATATTATACTACCTTTGTAGACTTAATTTTTTTTGTATGTGAGATAGACGTGCCTCAAGAAATGTCTGCTTCACCGCCTTCAGTAGCATCAGTGTATCAATTTGTGCTGATTTTGGCTGGGATAGAGTTAATGTTCTTCGTAGTAGCTCGTATGGGGCTATGTTTTGGATTTACAGTGTTGGTAATTCAGAGGTGTTTTAGTTATTGCTGAGCAGTGCTTACACAGAGTCAAGGCCTTTACTGCAGCTCACACCGCCCCGCCAGCGAGTGGGCTTGGGGGGACACAGCTGGGACAGCTGACCCCAGCTGACCGAAGGGGTATTCCATATGATATGGCATGACATATGATATGGTGTCATGCTCAGCATATAAAGCATGGGGGAAGAGGAGGGAAGGGAGGGCGTTCGGGGTTACGGTGTTTGTCTTCCAAAGTAACTGTGTGATGGAGCCCTGCTCTGCTCGGAATCTCTGAACACGGCTGCCTGCAGGTGGGAAGTGGTGAATGAATTCCTTGTTTTGCTTTGCTTACACGCGTGGCTTTTGCTTTACCTATTAAACTGTCTTTATCTCAACCCATCAGTCTCCTTGCTTTTACTCTTCCAGTTCTCTCCTCTGTCCTGCTGGGGTGGGGGGGATGAGCGAGTGGCCGTGTGGTGCTCGGTTGCTGGTTGGGCTTAAACCACGACACGGTTAAAGGGCTGCGACAGAGGAACTGTTGACGGTGGATCCTAATCCATTGAACCACAACTCCTTCTGGCTGATGTGAGCATGGTGACATCCAGTCTGCTCTGTTGTTACCTGTGGTGGACCATGGGGTTAATGTACATAACCTGCTATCATAGAGGCACTGATCATAAAGCTTTAACCAGAGACTATATGTAAATTCCCAGTTGACTTCACTTTAAAAAGAGGATTTTGTGTCTTAATTTTACTCCTTGGCTTTTGATAGAATGCCAGACTAGTTACTCTGATTTATTCCATTCTGTATAGGTTCCTGTTCCACACCCACCCCAATGGTATCAGAATGTCTTCCAGACTCCTTACTGATAAAAAATACTAGAAAACAAGACTAGCATCTGTCAAATGGGGCTCCCTCTCCATTTCTCTCTACACACCTTTCCTTTGGGGGGAGAAGAAGAGGAGAATAGCATGTGAGTTGTTTGAATTTTGATTTAAAAATATCCGTTGTGTGTTTTGTACATAAATTGAGTTTTTTTTCTTCTTGCGTGATGACATACAAAGTAGAATGTTTTTGTTAGGTTTTTTTTTTTGTAGCTTCTGTCTTATGTGGGAGGGGTTTTTGCAGCTGTGTACAGGAAAGTCTTGCCTTTCAAAGCAAAGATTTCATGTTGACAGTGATCTTTGTTTTCTTTTTTTTTTTGAGAAGACATTTGGGACCATCAAGGCTGAAGCACTGTTTGGGGATTTTTTTCCTTTTTTAGAACTTGTACTGGACTGATGAATTGTTTAGCAAGAAAGACTGAGATGTTTAAACTCCGAGTCCTCTGCCAGCTATTTAAGAACAAAGAAATACCTGTGAAGCTCCCAGTGACCTTTTTCAGTGCCAGGGTAGTTCTGTTGTGTTCTGTGCCCATTTAAGTTTCTTAAATCTCAGTCTGAATTGCATTTTGGTGTAATCTAGGGAGGAGGTGATAAAGGCACATACTTCTACAGCTAAGCCCATGGGGATACATTATGATGTACTGGGATCTGAAGATAAGCAACTAATGCGTCCATAGCCCAGCTGCTCGGGGATTCATAAATGCCCAGCTGCTGGGGAAGCGCTAGACCCTTCCTGCGGGTGTGTTTTAGACAGATGGGCAGCGGCGCTGTGTAACAGCCCTGCAAATAGATGACCCACAGCAGATAATCTGTCTTTCTCTAATCTTGCTGTAGTTATGCTCCTCTGTATGTTGGACTCCAGCTATCGCAGCTTGCTGGAGGGAGCAGGGTAGGGTAAAAATCAAAATTCTGGAGTAGAGGAAGGTGATAGACCTATATACACTCCTTCAGAGGAGGACATCTAAAAGCATACGGGTATTTAAAAAATTTGTCCCACTTCAGCATATTTAGCTGTTAGTGACATACATTAATTACATTTTATTTCTACTGCATTAATGTTAGTAGTAGCTTGTTTTATGCCAAGGTCCATATCAGCTTACAGCAGCAGAAACTTCTTCAGGAAACTTGTATTTTTTAGTAACAATCATATTTTAAGCATGTACCTACATGACAACAAACCAAATTATCAAAGAGGCTTCTCATCTTGACACTAACATTCAAGGTGAAAGGTGTTGGATTTCTTCTTCCTAAATGAGATGACAGTAATTTTATGAATAGAACTTAGTAAAATTCTGGTGTTCATATTCTCTTGGAAAAAACCCCGCAAAACACAGTATAGCTGCCATATAGACACAAAGAGATCTGAAAGGAAAACTTGGAATTTTGTTTAGTTAGAAGAAATGTAAAGGATTTCTCCCAACCGTCCATTTCAGGTTCTGTTTCCTTTAAGAGGAAGCAGGTGATCTACTGGGAGATATTGATGAGACCAGTTCTTTGGCTTAAGGCTTTTGGGTTTTTGTATTTAAGAATACATTTTTCAGACTTTAGTTTTTGTTTTAATACTGTTAAATGCAAATGTTTGTGTTCAAGTATTCCATCACTTTTTTGTATTTCTTTTTCAGGAAAAGTGCAAAATGTTTCAAATTCCTGTTCAAAATCTTGATAATATCAGGAAGGCTCGAAAAAAGGTGAAGGGCATTCTTGTGGATCTTGGGCTTGACAGATGCAGGGAATTATTGAAGGTAAAGCGTTTGACATAACGTAAACCAATCTGAAACATAAACCCCTGAAAAATATTTCACTTTTTAGAGTATATGTGATACTCTTTTGCTGTTGATCTTTATGGTGGGGCCTTTACTTGAAGGATTTCTTGTGACTGGCTACTCATATGCTGCAGGTGGAATTTAGTGTTTTAGTAAATAGCGTTGAAAGAAACTCCTATTTCTCAACAAGATGAGTTGTAGATTTACGAAAACCACCACAGACTAATGAAATCTTATTTGTGTACTATACAGCAACTTTTTTTGCAATTGTTTTAAAATCACAAGCAGATGGAGACTGGACTCTACTCGGAGGCATCCTGTTGCATATGAAGGGCAAGTCTCTGAGGGAGATACAAATTGTCAGTATTTCTGAAAATGGGCGAGCCATTAGACACACTGATCTTGTTGCAGGCCTTTAAACTTTGTGTCCAGGGAAAAATACCATACTTGTCCTACTGAGTTGTAGTTCAGTTCTGCATCTTAGCAAGTGTATGCAAGTGTACTGAGGTGATCAAGGTGAACCTAGTACCATTATTGTTGCTTTCAGAAGAAAGTATTGTGCAACAAGCAGGAGGAATTCACCCCATCAGATCAGCAAGCCTAATACCAGAAACAGTGCAAACACAGTAATGCAACTCAATGACTAAGCAGTAGCGTATTTCAGCTAGCTGGTACACAGACTGTTTGGACTGTTCGGCATGCTCTTGACTTCACATTGACTGTAGTCAAGAGTTTGGATTAATTCTGTATGATGGTACTGAAGTAAGTTAACTCTCTGTAGGGGTGCTGTTGTGTTTTTTGTGGTGTTTTTTCTGAGACTGTATAAGTAAACGAGTGAGGAAAAAAATGCTGAAGATCTAAATGCATAACTAATTCTGCAACATTCTTGGTTATTACAGTTGAACAGTGTTTGATATATCTTAAATAAATGTCGTAAGAGCTCAGGGAGCGGTGTATGTGTGTAGTAATTTCTATTTGCTTACTATTTTTATTTTTTTGTAATTAAACCTCGAAGTCAGAAGCTGTTCTGTCTTGACCCTTTGAAGTAGAAATGTTTTGATGATACTAGTTTGTTTGCTATGAAATTGATTGCAGTGTAACCTTTTGATTGTGGTATGGGGTTTAATGGTGACTGAGGTGTTTTGTGGTTGGTTCGTTTTGTGGGGGCGGTGTATGTTTGTTTGGTTTTGTTTCATTTTTAATGAAGGGTGATGGTGGGGAACCCAGGAAACATTTCCATTCTGGAAAAAGCGCTGTGTGATGTGGGCCAAAAAAATACCACTTTAGTTTTTTGTGAATAATTCTTTCTCAACCAAGTTAATAACTTTAGTTTGTTTTTTTTCTGGGTAATCTGGGGCTGGTTTTGGTATAACTTTAGCAGCAAGAAGAATGGTTTTTAGGATTTGATTTGTACTTGGCTCATGTGATCATGGTATTTCCCTTTACCTAGAGTAGGGTGTGTGGCGTCTTAATAGGTGAGGAGTAGCTTAATTTTTTTTTTCCACTCAAATATTAAGATTGATTTCTGAACATTGTCCTTGTGAGGAGGCTGGAATATTTAGGAAACACGATTAAATGGTATGATACAAACTTGATCTGCCATCTGGTCTTAAAGTTCGTGTTATGATAGACAGTAGTTTGTGAGGAAGATGAAGGAATTTCACCTACAACTAGTATCTCTTCGTAGTTTGGAGACCATGTGGATTAGTTTTTAGGCTAAAAGTTCTTAATTTGTCTCTGCTAGGAAGAAGACCAGAGGCCTTTGTGCTGGATTACTAGTTTGATTCTCAAAGTATTGCTTTTAAGTACAGCGTAATGTCATAGATTTTTGGTTAGTGAAGTATTTTAGCTTCTTTATTAAAGATCTTTAAGATTTCATTTAAACTCTGCGTGTTTTATAATTTTATTGTAGAAAACAGTGATGGTTTTAATACAGGAGAGAGAACAGTTCTTAGTTTTAAAATGTTTTTCTCTTAATGCGTTGGGATTATTCAGGCTTCTCTGAGGGTTTTGATTCCCTTCGTGTTACCTTTCCCTTCTGTTCTGTGCCTTTCCCACATTTCTCACTTCGAGGAGGTGAGGAAAACAAGTTAGTGGATGAAAGCTTGCTTCTGGGACATCAGTGTGGATCGCTGTTTAAAGCAAGAGTTCAGAACAGCCATTTGCAGCACTGACTAATTGTGGTAATACGAATTGTGATCTTTCTTTATCAGTGGATGTTTCTTTGTAGGAAATGGCTGTTTCAGCAAAATTATCTAGACTTACTGTCACACGCATTTGGCTTGTGGGAATCTGGTGTTCAAGTCTAGGAGCCTCACTTGGTGGAGAGTACTCAAACCAAAAGCAGAACCTGTGTGGGGTAGGCCATAAACTTTAAGAAAACTTGAACAGTGTGTAATTCACTCCAGTGTGTTCAGCTGAAGAATGGTTAGTAAATCTTGAGTCTCTTTGTTTTCTGTATCAAACAGATATAAGAAAAGCATCGTGTTCTCTAAGGCTGTGGGATTTCTCCTGTTCCATGTAATGGTTCGTTCTAAGGTGTATTTTTTTTAAGAAGGTTTGGCTGAAGAGCAAATAGATGACTCATTCAGTACCTAGAATGTTGATTAGAATGGAAGGGGTTTGTTTATTGTTGCCCTGAGCTCTTCAGGATTCTCCATGGGGTAACTTGAAGGTTAAAAAAGCTAGAAAGCTTATTGCAAACTTAGCTACATTTTTCTAAATTCTTGAATAATTTAACTCAAATTATCACTGGCATGACTTTCTGGCTCACTATAATCTGTTACATGCGCAGGGATGCTCACATTTGCAGAGTGTGGACAGGATCCTAGTGTAGACAGCCTACATTAAGTAGGACTGTGTATTTGTTTGACTGCTGGAGGCTTTGTTTCTTTTTTTGGGCAGTATATCCTGTGTTGCTTACAGATTTTGCATAAATATTGCATTGTTTTTTTTGACCACAAACTACTAAATTTATGAATTCCGCTTCAGTTGAAAATGATCTAGTCTTGAATGGCCTTTATTACCTGCTTTCGCTGTTCCATTGTAGTTTGGTGTAGAGATTAAAACATCTTGCCCTCTCTAAGAATCTTGCAGAATTTTGAGTGAAGAGGGGTTTGTGAAAGAGAAGGAGAATGTGAGGCAGAAGCAATGCTAGTGTTCTGTGGGTTAAGCCTGGATTCCTAGCCTGTGTTTCATCTAAGACGCTAGTGTGCTTCTGAAATGCCTAGGAAACATGAGTCTAGGGTTTGGTTTTTTTTTCATTAAGTTTGTGTTTGGGTATGTGTGGGCCTCAGAAAATTGGAGAGGAACTTTGATTTTTGAAGTAGTAGCTGGCTTTGGCTTGAGGAACATAAACTGCTCTGATGGGATTGATTAGAAGAATGCTATAAGGAAAGCTGTTTACCCTGACAGGATTGTCCAGACACAGTAATATTGTTGCTTTTACAGCTTGGGGAAAAATACTGCTGCTGTTGAAGTAAGCCTCTGGGAATGCTTTTGTTTTTCCAAGTTAGAAGCATAGCAGTGCTATGCAGATTTAATATGAAAATCTGTTGCAAAGTAAACCATAGTGGTAAGTTAATAAATAGAATTAAATAGTGAAATATTTCAGATTTAGGAGGAGGAAGGTAGAGGGAGAAAATATCTGTGTTCACTGTGAACTTGGCTAGAAGCAATGGAATTAAAGTGTAAATATTTTCACTCCTGTATTCTTTTCAGTAACTATGAGTTATTCAGAATTCCTGCTATCTTACAAGGCAGTAATATGAACAAGTATTTGAGGTAAAATAAATCAGAGGGGTCAAAGAAGTAATTTCTTTTAACTGAGTTTTGAGACCTGTATCCAAATACTGTATGGACTTCCCATTCATCCTCTGTTTGTGTGGGTGTTTTTTTTTCTCTGTATTGAGACTTTTTTTGTATTCAGAGCAGACGGCAAAAGCAGGTTATTTCTTGGTTTCTTTTTTCTTTTAGGATCTTAAAAGTTTTGACCCAGGTGAAAAACACTTTTGTAACACTTCATGGAGTGATGTCTCTCCTTGGGAGCCTTCGGGCAAAAGGAAGGTATGTATGTTTGTGTTAGAAATTCTAGGTAGATGTGCATGTGGAGTCGCTGAATTTTGTCACTTTCGTAAGTCCTGGAAAACCATAAAACTTCTTTATGGTTTAAAAAAATAGCTTTGACATCTGTTTTCTAAGTACTGTTAGCCAGGGAATAAGCTTACATTTTCTCTGTTCTTACCTGTAATGCAGCTGGGTATAAGGCGTGTGGGTATATATGCCATTTGCTGTCTTTAAGGGTACAACCTTGAACATCAATATTTAAGATGTCGTACGAATGTTCTGCCTTTTTAGCCTAATCTGATGTGTAGTCTTAACATGTTCCTGTATACAACAGGCTTGTTTCATTGGAAGGGTGAAAATATGATTACTGTAGATGCGAGTGGATTAAGCTGAAATTATCATCAGTGGCTTGGGACAGGGTTGCAGTGGGAAATGTATTCCAGTTACATTTGTGTATGTGAAACAGCTGTTAGTTCTGCATAGCCAGAATGTTGCATGAAGCTAGAATCTACAAGAAAGGCAGAGCTGAGATAAATAAACCGAAGGATTTCTATAATTTTGTATTCTGGTAAGTTTCTAAGATAGTCTGTAGAGCATAGGAGTATATCCAGAAGAAAAGGAAGTGTTTTCTCAGTCTTGCTGGAGAGTCTTAGGGGTCCTGATGGCTTCTTTGAGGAAGGCCTGTTAACAGCGGTGGGTCTGCTCTTTGCATCCTGAATCAAAAGGTAGTGATTTAGAATAGTGTGGTGGTGGTTTGCCACCACTTTTTTTATCTGCCTTTGTCATCTTTAAAACAAACTGAGGCTGCCAAGTGCAACAGTTGCATTTTTTTAACAAAGCCCTCAATATACAGGCTGACCAAACAAAGCTGCTAAGTCTTCAGCAAATTGTCAGCTAGTAGAAAGTGACCCCTCCCGCTCTTCAGGACCCTTGTCTGCTTTGTCTCCTAGTTCTCCTTTCCTGAACTTGGGTTCACGCATTTACGACAGGGAGGTTCATCTGTTCACATAAATTTGTGAATGAAAGAGTCAAGTGTGACTTGTTGTTTGACTGCGTCCATAGAGACACATTGCATCTAGCCTCTTAGCACCACCTCAGATAAGGCTGACTGATTACCTTCAGTCAGCATTACCTTTAGTTGAATGGAATAAATCCCCTTAATGGTCTTTTTTTTTGTCCTTCCCCCTCCTTTTTTATTTCTCCTTTATGCACATGGATAACTTCTCCTTTTATCAGATCTCCTGGCTCCAGTCAGCATGTTATCTGAGCTCTAGCCTTGCTGATTTTGGTCTTTTTTTGCCTTTTCCCCTACCTTCTGACTGAAGAAAGAAGTTCACTGTTGGGAGATCATCTGTGTTAGATGTTTTCTCTCCTCCCCAGACATGAAGAGTGTATGGGCCCAGCTTTTAAAAGCATATAAGCTCTTCTAAGCCTCGGACAACCAACTAAAATAAGCGGTCACCTCTCTTTGTCACCTGACTCCTTCAGAAGCAAGGCTACTGAGGTGCAGCTTTTAACAGTGCTCTGTATGCTTCATTAGTTCAGTAGTGTCAGTGGCCTTTCTCTGCTGAGCACTCTTTAAAAGTAAGATTGAAGTTTCTTCTAACTTGGTGTAGTGCTTTTTACAAGCAGCTGAGACCAGACACCTACAGAGTAGAAGTACAGGATAATGTACCTGATAACTTCACAGTGTACTCTTCAGCAGCCTTAGCTATCCAGTGGCTTTATCTGACCCAGTCTTTTTGAATCCAGAGGTTAGATTTTGGTTATCATCAGAAGACTCTTCTAGCACTGCTAGTAGATGCCAGCTTCATGGCTATATGGAATGACAAAAAAAATAACTGCACAGATTTTTGCTACAGTTCTTCATAACGTGTCTGTGACATGTATGTGGGTGATCTGCCTAGGCTGGATGCTGTAGTGGTGGAACAGCTTGCTCCCTTTGGATGCTGTTTCGTAAGAAGCAGAAGTCCGTAAGGTGAAAGGCACATCCGGGGGAACAGACAAGTTCCTCTAGATGTTTGAGAGTGTGGATTTGTCACCTGGATGTTGCTGTGACTGATTCTGTAGTTTCTGGCAGGAGCCAGGTTTGACTTCCTAGGAAATTGATAAGAAAAAATGATTGACAGGGCTATCACTTTTTTTTCAGAAAGAGCAAATAGTGTTCATATGGATAAAAGTAATGCTGTCAAGTGATGTGTGATTGAGGGAGCAAACCACTGTTTAGTGGAAGACAGGTTTATTTTTATAGAGTTGAAATATTTTTCTGAGAAGAATGTTTATGCTCTGAGTGTGCTAGAGGAAATTTCTTGAATAAATTGCTGTGATGGGATGTCTAGTATGTTGAGACAATACAAAGAGGTCATTACTGCTTTATCATTAAAGGGGGATTTATTACTTTCTGTTGCTAATCTGGCTCCAGAAGAATGTTCTTAAAAATTAGTCTTTTTGTGGCTTTGTTGTGAGAGGTACTTTTGGAGTGCTTTAAGTCTGCTTTCCAAAAACAGGTCTCCATGAAACTCTGAAGATACATGCTATACATCCAGTGAAGGAATTTTTGACAGGTGATAGCGCAGACTTGCTTTCAGACAGACTACAGGGATTTAGGAACTGGCAGTTTCTAAGAGGATGTTTTTGTTTTGTTTGCAGAGATACAGAACAAAGCCATACTGCTGTAGCTTATGCAAGTTCTCATCAAAATTGCTTACTTCCTTCAAGAATCACTTGCACCGTTACCATGAGGATGAAATGGACCAAGAGCTGGTGGTTCCTTGCCCAAAATGTGCATTTGCTTCTGATCCCAAAATAGTGGGAAAACATATCCGGATGTTTCATTCATCTAATAAAAGAATACAGAACTATACAGTCAGCATTTTGGATGGCATGAAACAATTCAGAAGTGACATCATAAACTTTACATGTCTGAAATGTCACTTTACAGACACATTGTATTACAACATGAAGAAACACGTGCTGATGAACCATTTTGAAAACTTACTAAGTACATATTTTGGCCAGAAACCTGATGAAAGCAAAGAGAATTCTATCGAGCACTACTGTAAAAAATGTAATGCTTCTGCAAACAGCCAAGATTCGTTAATGTACCATGTCTTGACAGCTGAGACACACCGAGACCTGGAAAACAAACTCCGGTCTGTGATTTCAGAACATATTAAGAAACCAGGGCTTGTGAAACAAATGCATATTGCTCCAAAGCCTCCCCAAGGTGTGGCAGTGGCTGCTCCCTCAGCAGGGCCCACAGCTGCCCCAGCAGGTTCTGTCACAGCTCCGGCTTGCATCCAGCTTGCATTTCCACAGAATAATCAAAACCAGAGTGTGGTGCAGCCAAAAGCAGTTCAAAACACAGTCAGATCATTAACTGTTCCAAGTGCCTCTGGTAGCCTTCCACATACGACTTCTGCTCCGGTAGTTACCCCTTCGCATGTTACTCTTGTACCTAGTAATATTCCTGTAGCCCAGAATAATGTTAATATTCAGCCATCACCTTCCCAGCCTATCATTGTTTCCCATAGGCTCCCCCTTCATCATTCTGTTGGGACCGTGAATAGAACTGTGGCCCCTGCAGTTCTTCCTCTCAATCAACCTGTCAGGCCTGGGCTCTTTCCTATTAATCAACCCATTGGTACTATAAATGGTCCGGTTGCAGCTGGAACGCTACCTGTCACTCAGCCTGTCAACCCTGTGAATCAACCGGTAGTACCAGGAGTCCTCCCTGTGAATCAACCGGTTGCCGCAGGAGTTCTGTCCATCAACCAGTCAATTGGGAATGTGAACAGGCCCATCAGTCCCAGGGTCCTTCCTGTGGCGCAGACGGCTGCACCGGGTGTTCTCCAACTCAACCAGCCCGTGGCCTCGGGGGTTGTTCCTGTCGGGCAGCCTGTCAGACCTGGGTTTCTTCAGCTGAATCAACCTGTTGCACCAGCAGTGATCCCAGTAAATCAGCCAGTTCAGCCTGCAGTTTCTCAAAACGCAGCTTTTTTGACTGCGGGTTCTCTACTTAGGCAGTTGATTCCAACAGGTAAGCAGGTTAATGGGATACCGATGTACACGCTTGCCCCGGTTTCAGTTACTTTGCCTGTACCTCCCGGTGGTGGAGTAGCAACTGTTACGCCACCCCAAGTGCCCGTCCAGCTAATGCAGTCTGGGCCAGTAGCGCAGCTGTCCCAGTCGCCGGCTAGCGCGCCCTCTCCCCCGGTGCTCCTGACGTCTCAGAATCTGTCCTTACAGGCCTCCCCGCCCAGTCCTGAAACAAGCCAGGCTGTCAGACAGGCTAAGCAGTGGAAGACTTGCCCTGTTTGCAATGAGCTCTTCCCGTCAAATGTCTACCAGGTGCACATGGAGGTGGCCCACAAACACGGTGAGATAAATAGGGAGGAAACCCTGGAACCTGACAGACTTGCGGCTTGCGCGCCCTTTCTGAGGTGGATGACAGAAAAGACAGTCCAGTGTTTCTCTTGTCAGTGTTTTCTCTGTGAGGCAGAACTCATGAAACATCTCTTGATGCATGGCTTGGCTTGCTTGTTTTGCACAGTTACTTTCCATGACTTAAAAAGCCTTGTGGAGCACAATAAAACAACACACAATGGGAAAAAGCAGTTGCATGCGGATTATAGCAACAGAGGATTTCAACTAGGTAATGATGCTCAGGGTGAGATTGTATTTCCACGCTTTGATTTCAGTACAATGTTACCAAAAGAAGACATTGGTGAAAGAGAAGTACATTTGGCAGTGCTTGCTGGACTGACTTCAAGGACACTTATCCCTCTTTACATCAAAGTGAAACCTCAGACAACAGAAGTGAACAGTAGATGCGGCAAAAAAGTGTTAACCTGTCCCTTTTGCTTCGGTACGTTTGTTAGTAAAGAAACCTATGAAACGCATTTGAAAGAGCGGCATCATATAATGCCAACTGTACATACAATTTTAAAGTCTCCTGCTTTCAAGTGCATCCACTGTTGTGGCGTGTACACTGGAAATATGACTCTAACAGCCATTGCTGTGCATCTGCTCCGTTGTAGAAGTGCTCCCAAAGACAGCAACTCGAGCGTGCAGATGCAGCTGGAGCGTACCGAGAAGAAGGAGCTACTGTTTGTGAATGGTGAGAAGCATGATCCCGTCGTCCTGAAAAGAAAGCAATCGGATTCCTGCTTTGTTGCAGAAGACCAAAGGAATAAGGAACAGCAGCCTCTGAGCTTAAGTACTGGCATAGTTCTGTCTTCAGAAAAAGAAGTGCATTCAGGGGTAGTGCCTTTCAAGCGACAGAAGATTAATACTAGGACTGAGATGAAGAAGCTTCCTTCTAGTGAGGATCTTCGCATTCTAGCAGTAGATCCTAAACAGTACGATCACAATTCATGTAAGGCTCAAAAACAGTTTTTGACAGACTACTTTCATGAGAGGCCATATCCTTCTAAAAAAGAGATGGAATTACTATCCTCGCTGCTATATGCGTGGAAAATTGATGTTGCGTCGTTCTTTGGAAAAAGGAGGAATATATGCTTAAAGGCGATAAATAATTACAAACCATCTGTGCTGCTGGGTTTCAGTATGTCTGAACTAAAAAATATTAAGCACAGTTTGAATATAAAAGATGAACCATTAGATGTGTAAACAAGCTTTTTATAACAGCTAAAAGCAATCCATAATTGCATACTTACAGATTTAGCATTTTATTGTATTACTTGTTTTAAATTGCAGACTGGCCTGTTGAAGGGTGCAGTAGTATAAAAAGCCTCATTCAGTCCTGACTGTTGCTGTGAAGGACACACGTTGTCGATTTGAAAAAGCTAAAACCTTCAGACTTACACATCTGGAATTTGTTTTAGCTTTTGACTTTTTTCTGGAGTAGTGGGTTCTTTTTTTGTTCGTTTTCCTTTCTTCCCCTCCAGGCTCCCATTATACTTTTTATACCACCATGTAAAACATTTGTCCTGTTAAAACCAAATTTTATTTTATTTTTCTGCAATGTCGTCATCTTTTCTAAACAATAAAGTGTATAATATTGGTTAAAATACTGAGGTAAACTATGTGAAAAAGATGTATTTGATTATTTGTGGTTTTAAGTCCTAATTTTTTTAACCTATTTTTGTTTTATCTACTGAAGAAGTGATTGTAGCCTTTACATCCATTGCCCCTTCAAATTCCCCATGCACTGGTAGCAATAAATTATCTGGCAATCTTTTTTTTTTCTCAGTTAAAACACCTGTGCCAGTTAAATCTGGTGACTTGTATCTAACTAGTACTAACATGGTGCGGATTGAGGTGCTTGGAGGTGCCTATTGAAGTGTTAAAATTAACTGACTTGAAATGGTTGTGTTAATATCTGTTAAATAGATCTTGCTAACCAGAAGTGTTTACTCTTTTTGTTGGTGTTGAAGCCTGGTTGTTTAAATGCCTGCTGTTCAAAGCTGAGTAGTAGCCTTTGGTTTCTTCAAAAAGCAAAACTGCTTTGGAGAGTGTCAGGTTGCTTTGATATGTGGAGTGTATGGCTTCTGTGCACATCACTTATCTGTAGAAGCCCTATCCAAATACCACGGAAGTTTGATGAAGAATCTGAGTTTTGTTTTAAGCTGCTGTTGCATGAGGTAGTAACTGAGCAGTGCCTCCTCCCCAGCAGATTAGATACATGGCTTGAGGTACTTTGAGTCAGGAATTGTACAAACTGAAACTGGATGAATTGGTAGCCATCGAGACTTTAAACTGTTGAGTACCTGAACCAGTGATAGTCATGTTGTGATTGTTTTTTTGTTCTCCTATAGAAGAAAGGATAAAACCCAAACAGACTGTCTTGTTCAATGTGAACTAGCATCCCGATTGCAGATTACGGAAGAGCTGTTGGGAAGGTTCACCTGAGCTGAAGAACAAACTGTAGTGTGGCTGGCCACATTGAGGCCTTCTTTCTTTCTGAATGTGCTTGGTTGCATCTGGCTTGTCAAACAGTGCCTCCAATATTCGTTAATAGGTGGTTATATAATTAATAACCTATAATATGCATTATTTTTTCTTCCTCCTCATTCCCGTATCCCCACCCTTCTTTACCAGAAGAAAAAAAAAGAGCAGGCTCTTCTGTCAGGTCACTCGTGCCAGTGTTACAGGGAAAGGGTGATATGCCCAAGCTTGTTTCTATTTTTTTAAGTAGTAAGCATACTTCTGCCCTGTGATAGTTTTTAAAGTGGATTTAAAATTGGGTTTTGTGCTGTTAATAAAAGGGCATGACATTTTTAGCAGAATTTGGTGACTGTCCACCTGAGGTTCTATAAGCTGTTTGAAATTCTATTTTGGATACAATCTTGATATTTTCGTATTGATAGCTTCAAAGAATTTTGATGTATATGTAACATGCAGTTAACTTAAACTGAGAGGAACTGCCATTTGGAGGAACCTAGTCATTTAATAGCAATGTTGAACAAGCATAAGCACCATTTGTGGGATTGTCCACATGCCCCACCCCGAACGGTGACAGTGAGCAAGAAGCAGTGTGTTCCTATAGCCTAATGATAGCTCATTAAAAATAAAAAAAAATTTTATCTGGGCGTAGCACAGTGCAGGAGCCAGTTCAAAGGGCTCTGAGTGAGGACAAGGGATGCTCTCTAGAAGTTCCTAGGCACTCATTTTCGCTCTTAAAACCTTGATTGTGTGAGCCCTGTCATCTCTGGGGTGGTTCTGCGGGTGTGGGTGAAACCTCAGGAGGGAGGGACTGGGCAGTGTGCCATCTGGGGAAGGCTTGCCGTGAACGATTGCAGATTGTTCGTGAGATGACAGCGTGGCTTGGAGTGGGGAGCTGGGAGGGGGTTTCAGGGTTTATCCGTGCTTAGGGTACCAAGGGCGCAGTCCAGTCTTGCCAGAGTTTTCCTACATAGTGTCCAGTGGCGATGTTAACCATTTTATTTATTGGACTTTGATTTCAGTTTCAAATAAACAAGCTTTCTAATATTCTCTAGGTGTGTGTGCAAATGATTACCTCCCCTCCCCCAGTGTTTCTTTTGGTGTAAAATAGCTGTTAAAAGACACAAAAGGAAAGTAAGACCTAGAACTTGGATCCAGATGCTTTTGGTAGACATTAGAGCATTATAGTCATGCCTTTTATTATCTCAAACACTGACAGCTGCATATTTTCCTAGAGATTGATGTTCTTGAATCTTGGTACTCATTTGCTGTTACTAAATGCTGCTGCTCTCATTGAATGAGGACTGTAGAAACAAACAGATACATTTTGAACTGTGGAAGTAGGGACTGAGATGCTGTTTTCAGCAAAACCAAGGAGCCTGAAAACAGCCAAGTTAAATCAGTGGTTTTAACTAAATCAGGCTTTTGCTGTAGGCTTCTCACATGTGAAGTCATTTGGTTAGAAAGTGCGAGTCTGGAAAGATGCCACTGCCCCTATCCAGCGCTACGTGTGGGTAGCCTGGTAAATGCCTCTGTGGCACTTCTCTGTGGACAGAGCCTGACACTCCTGGTATGGGCTGGTGGGGAAGACAGAGCTACCGAAGCAGCTGCCCTCTGCAGCAGACTTTCCAAATGCAAGTCCTTAAAGCAAATGGATGAAGCTCTGGTCCACCGTAAAAGTCTTTCAGTTGGAAAGAATACTGGTTGGTTTGCAGAGTGATTGTAGCAGGTACTTGTTCCTTATGGGAATAGAAAACAAACCCCAAAACATGCATGTATTCTGCTTCTGAAATGTGTTGGTCTGGAAAAGTCTCCGTATTCAAAAAATAATTTGTTGTGGTGTCTCGAGTTTTTCAGCAGAAAAAATGTGCTTGTGGAATAGTGTGATAACTTCTTCTTTGCAGATGTAGTAGGAAGGATTATTATTATAATGTGACTTGATCATGTTTATTCTGTATGCATTTATGTGCTGGGAGTTAAGTTAATATTGTTTGGTAAACTGATGTTTTGGAAGGGGACAAAACCCCAAACACCCTTGTGACTGGTTTTCGGTACTGTATTATTGTGTAGAATACTACAGTTCACCATTGCATCAAACTTTTTTTTTCCCTCCACTGCTTAAATTGTTCAAAAAAGCTTAGGGGCTTGTTTGATTAGCTTTTAAATATAATTTTGGGGGTGCAATTCCCAACAAATACCTCTATATAATTCTACTGCAGCTGGCTGTGCCATTTTCAAACATTTATTTGTCAAACAAGTGTGTGCACATTTTTCTAGGAAAGATACTTGATCCTAAGTAGCAAAGTACAGCTGCACAGAGAAAAAATCTGCAGTCTAATAGCAAGGGGAAAAAAAAGACCAAAAAAACCCCAGAAAATGTGCATGGCTTGTTTTAAATGTCAGAAGAATTTTCACTCCTTTCTCTGCAAAATGTCCGTGAATAGGACAAATTGAGGGTATGCATGAATGGAACACAATGTTGTGGTGCTGCATTGAAAGTCTGACCTAACACCTTGCTTTAGTGCCTACATACCTCATTTCTCATTTCTGTTCTGACTGGACAGGCAAGCCACAGTGGTGGCCGTTTCTCTTTTTACTTGGGTGCCAGATCCCAAAACCTGTGTGACGCAATTCTTTCTGCTTTGAATTTGTGTGTGTTCAGCACGCGGAGTTGAAGGGACGCACGCAGTGTGTGCTGGCAGCGCTGGCCTGTTGTGTCCGAGATGAGTGTTGGTCTGCAGATAGCAGGAGCACAGGTGTGGGCTGGGCGCCCATCTTCTAATTCCACATAAACGCTCTTTATAAACACAGCGTTTTACTTAGTAGTGTGTTGAAGAGCACCTTGTGATAAAATCAGGGGAAGGTAAAGGCCAGAAATATCTTTGCAAGTATTGTTCTTAATTTATTTTGGGTGCTTGTCTGTTAAATGGGAGCAATAGCAGTGCTTGCCATCCTTGCATATGATGTGGGTGAGTATCTTAGAGACAGTGAGACCGGTAGGTATTTTACGCATCGAGCTGCACCAAGTAAGCCAAGTATGGAACAGCTGACAGTGCCTATGTATGACTGAAAGCCATCGGGCATGGGCGTTTCTGGAGAAAGGTCTGATTCTTAACTGTCAGTGTCATTTTGGCTTACGGTCTATTTGGAAGTGGAAAAGATACTGAATTTTGAATGAGCTGAGAAGTCTATAAAACGGTATTGCAGTCCATTGGCTGCAGGGGTATAAGCGATGCCAGGGAAGATGCCTATGGCTTTGGGTACCTCAGCTGTGCTTGGTGTAGTGCAGCGCAGAGGTGTGTAGTGAGTGGACAGGTGGCAGAGGGCTGGGGACCCTGCCACTCTGCCTGGTGTGGTTGCTGTGGTCTTCACTGATCGGTGTTTCTCGACTGGCTGGCATCTAACTGGCGTTAGAGGAGCTGTTGTGTGAGTAACTGGTAGAGAATGCACAGTTATGGGTGGATGGAAAAATGCCGTGACACCAACTTGAGCACAGTCACAGAATCCCAGAATGGTCGGGGTTGGAAGGGACCTCTGGGGATTATCTAGTCCAACGCTCCTGCCAAAGCAGGGTCACCTACAGCAGGCTGCAGAGGACCTTGTCCAGGTGGGTCTTGAATATCTCCAGAGAAGGAGACTCCACAACCTCCCTGGGCAGCCTGTTCCAGGGCTCCATCACCCTCAGAGTGAAGAAGTTCTTCCTGATGTTCAGCTGGAACTTCCTG